ATATCCACCGTAAAAGTAATATATACTTTCTTTTTCTAAAAAAAACTACTCCCTCCGTCTCACATACCATGTTCACGTTGCCGTTTCTGTCCGTCCCACATACCATGTCACTTTTCTTTTTTGAAAAATGATTACACACTTTAATCTCATTTTAAACTTTTTAATTTTTTTTAAAAAATTTAATTAAACTAATTAGTTATCTTAATCTTAATTTATAATTATTTATATTATAAAATAATTATTTTCACTAATACATTCTTAATTATCTACTAATTACACCCTTCATAAAATACCGTGTCTACAGTGTAGCAGACACGGTATGGTATGTGGGAACGGAGGTAGTACAATTTACTATAAAATATTATTTTTATATTATTAATATATTTCTCATATTTAAAATAAAAATCATTCAAATTCAAAATATTAAAGAATTTTTCTTTTATGAAATGTTTTGTGAAAAAATATATATATTTAAAAAATACAGAATCTAATAAATAAAATTTAGAGAAATTTCTCAAAAGAAACAAACCCTTGGAATCATACTCATTGTAATTTATAGTATTTAAATATTAATAAATTAGCTAAATGTGACCCTGTACATGTTTTATTTTTAATTTTGTTTTGATACGAGAATAAATTATGAAATCTACTTTACAAATTACAAACAAATATTTCGTACATTGAAATAGCTGTGAAGGCTCCACATAAAATATTATTCCATCCGTCTCATGTAATATGGGTGTATTACTGTAGACACGAGAATTTAGGTATAGTAAGTAATTAAGAAATATATTAATAAAACTAATTATTATTTAGTAAAAATAATTATAAATTAAAATTAAGATAAATAAATAGTTTAATTAAAATTAAGAAAATTATAAAATTTAAAATTTAAAATTTAAAATGCGATTAAAGTGCATAATTATATTTCCATAAATAAAAAAGACAAGTTATATGGGACGGACGAAAATAAAAAATAGGAACAAATTATATGAGACGGAGGAAGTATTATTATTATTATTATTATTATTATTATTATTATTATTATTAAGTGGGCAGGTCAACCAATGAAGGGACGAAACGTGGCCTTTAACAAGTAGTTGGTGTGTCACAGACACAGACAATCTCTGAATATAATGCACTAGGAATCAAATGGTACCATGAAGTTGACAATTCATATTCAATAATAATAATAATAATAATAATAATAATAATAATACAGGAATTTGCAATCGTTATTCGAATATGCAATAATGTGTATATTGAAAAGCCTGCCAACAACATTATATAGCAACACAATATATATTATCAAATTTGTAATAAAATGTTAATTGCTTCTATCGAGATACTTTAAATATTTGATTTTAGATTTAATAGATTTATATTTGGTTTTGTTCTTATTCATATATTAGATTACTCATATTTGGAGTCTATCAAATTTGTTTTGTATTTTCTATATAAATGTCACTTACTTTGATGATTAATAAGATAATTTTATTATTTTTCATGTAAATTTGCTAACTTTTGATCAAATTGATCTCCTTGATACATTAAGTATGGTGTTTATGACCGAACGTTACCGGAATTTAATTATCGTCGATTACGGCGGTTTCGACTCGGGCGTTAATTGTCCCGCTTGATGAAGGTGCTTATAAAAACACTCTCCACCACCCCCATTGAGACACAACACCAAGAGGAGAAGACTTTCTCTTCCTCTATAATCCTCTCCACCCTGCGATTTCCGGTGAGTTTTTCGGCAAGCTTCGGAATCTATACTTGCCTAACTTCCCAATATAGCTTAAGTTCCCTTATTTTAGTTCGCCGGAGCTTCGAAATATTGGGATGCCACCTAATTCGAAGGCGAGCGTCGTTTTATCTTTTGGGAACGTTACGTTATGAACCGGAGGCACTACCAGGACGTATTCGTTTTTACGGAAAGAGATTCTACCTCGATTCGACGTGATTATCGAATTTATTTCGATAAAATTATTGTGATGGTTATCGAATTTATTTCGATAAAATTGTCGTGATTATCAAATTTATTTCGATTAATTATAAAGAAGTTATTTAAAGTATAATGCCAAATTTATTATTGACTAATAATGATTAAGGTAGGCATGACATGAGTGACCAAACCCTAATTAAAATTAAACCTAGCTACCACAAATGATTAAATCAAAGGATATGCTTCCCACATGGCTCTTATTAAATATGCATTTTTGCCTTTTCTTTTTAGTAATGATAATAATAATTAAAGTGATATATAATTTCTAATTTCTAATTTATGTGATAATATCGTTGTAGTATCACTACAAGAAAATATCATTTTTGTAACGAGATTTTTTCGTCATTAAATTTACTTTTTCCCTTACTAATGATATTAGAGACGGAATTAATGATGGAATTACATTAGCTACGTGATCTTTAGTGACGGAATTCTGTTACAAATATACTATTTTTTTTGTAGTGTATATATATACATATTTTGATTAAATATTGTCGGATTCTATTACTTTTATTCTATATGCGTTGTATTAGTAGACTTTATGTTTTGGGATCACTTGTAGTATATTGACTATTGTCGGATACTCTCAGTTTATGTGTTTTATTTATATTATTAAATATATATATATAGTATTACTGGGGTGTGTTTGTTTGAGGGATTTATTGAATTTACACTATTCATTCAATTTTTTTTTCCAAAAACATCAAATCAAACACCTATTTTTCATTTTTTTATATTATACTAAAAATCAATTTTACATTCAAAATATCACATCAACACCTATTTATATCACGTCATACAACTATTCAAATTCAAAATTTCTACTATTTAAATCTCAACTCAAAATCCAAACCCCCAAACAAACATACCCCAATTTATAATTTTATGCATGATATGCTTTTGTTATATATTAGTTGTGTTATTACACTACAAAAAAATAATATATTTGTAACGGAATTCCGTCCCTAAAGTTCACGTAGCTAACGTAATTCCATTACTAATTCTGTCTCTAATGTCATTAGTAACGGAAAAAGTAAATTCAGAGACAAAAAAATTCTGTTACAAAAATGATTTTTTCTTGTAGGGATTATACTATACTTGTTATATTTAATCAATACAATAGCAATTTTTTTTAATTTTTTTTTTTTTTTCTCTCAGAGAATATGACATTCAACTTTTACTTTCATCGACTCAAATGATATATGTTTTGGTACTTTTTAGTCACAATACAAAGTATTAATTTTTTATTTTATTTTTTATTTTTTGTAAGTATGAACTTTACTAGTATATTTTATAAATATCTTCAAACATATATTTATCAAGATCATTACATTCAAAATGGATGGATAATCTTTTACATATCAAACTTATGTTTTGTGGGTAGACAAAAAGTAAAGTTTCTACAAAATTTATGAAATAATCAATCAATATATAATTTATAAATAGAAAAAGTATTAGAAAATTAGCTAATTTATTTATTAAAATATCAGTAAAAAATTATGAATAAATAAAACTATTTATTATAAATGAATGGTGAATAAATTTAATATATAGCAAAAAAATCATGACATAATATTAAAAGAAAAATAGAATACAATTTAACAAAAGGGACAAATACAATATATAAATATAAACTAATTAAAGTACACTCTACATCCAAAGAAACTATGTTTCACCACTATTAATATATAATTCTTAATAAAAATATATTATTTTTCTAAATAAAATATTATATTTTATGATATTTAAATAAAATAAAAATCAATACTCTCTTCATCAGCTCTAAGTGTCTCATTTATTTTTTTATCATTGTATTTAACATTAAAAGTATCCTTATATGTATATAATTTTTTGTACAAATGTTTTTCTATTAGTATTATAAGACACTAATTAAAATATTTTGTAATTTTTTCTTAATTTGTACTATATTTTTATATAATTATTAATATTCAAATATCAATAAAAAATAAGTGAGATCTTTAGAAACGAACGGAGATAATATTTTATTACAAATTAATTTTAAATTATAATCCAATAAAACAATTTCATGAAGTAACCTTTTATTTTATTTTATTTTATCATTAAAAAGCTTTAAAAAAAAATAATCAGTAAATAACATAAATGTTACTCAATTAGTTGACTTAAAATATTATTGGACGAAATGATTGATTTATTTATTTTTATGTTAATGAATAATGATTGAAAACCATAAAAGTATTGAATAATGCATATAAATGACTGTCACCTGCAACCTCCCTATTGGTCCGTTGGATCCCCACTTATTCACAATTTTCAATTTATATATATATTTTTTTTTTAAATTACGTGGAAATCTGTCATCGCTACCGGTGCACACTAGGTAAATCTCCGGTCGAACCTAATATCCTGCAAACCAGGTCCGACGAGAAAGTAATTATATTTGTAATAGTATACATGTACTTTAGGTAAAGTTTAAAAAGTATTTTGATATTAGTGTATGATTACTTTTTTCAAAATAAAAAATGAATACTTTAAAGTGTGACAAATAAAAATAATAAAAAATAATATTTTGAATTAAAAGGAATAGCGTAATATATATAAAAGTAATTTATTATATAATATTACATATAAAATTAATTATTATTCGAAACTCAATTTCAAAACTCACAAACAAACATTCTCTATAATAATTTATGGTATGTTCTTTTTGTGAAATTTGTACACACATTTTCCCCAAAAGACTATAATAATTTACCTATATTCATTATTTCTTATATTATGTAATTCATATAAATATATTTTATCAAACCATTTCATAAAACAAACGCACCTGTAGCATATGTTTTTTTAGAGTTTTATTTTATTATTTTATTTTAGTTTTAACGGTAATTTAAATATGATATTTTTATTAAAAACATAATATATGTTTATTTATTTTTAAAAAAATAAATAAACAAAAACAAAACCTTAACTATAAAAACCTCAATAAACCCCCTAAGACAACCAACACAAGATCATGTTCCCACACAACAATGTTCGACTCCCTTACCTTAATTCCCACAACTATTCCTCCGATCTCCCACCTTCACAAAATACAATCCCTCCGCCGGCATTCGGCGGCGGCGGCGGTGGCGGCGGAGGCGGGTCTCCAAGTTTTATCGAAACGAGGATCATCGGCATCCACTCTCGCGACAAAAACTCGGGAGTCTATTTCCCGATTAGCAAATCATCATCACCGCCGGATTACATTGATCCTATAACGACTCCCACGAGAAATTCTCAGGTTACAAAACGAATCAATATATGAGACGATATTATATGATCATTGACATTTAATATATAAATCAATAATATATATTTCTATAGACTCTATATTTTTAAGTGAAATGATTATTTAACAGTATCTTTCAATGTTTGTGATAATAATTTAGAAATTTTATTTTTTGCACTAAATCTTGCCATGCAATAGGTGACGAACTTGGCGCAACAAAATCACCGTGCAAATAGAGCCGTCGTGAATGAGAGTAGTGTGTTAGAGTGCTTGAGCAAAGCTAGCCCGTACGGTCCGGAGGAAAAAAAAGAAAGGATCGAGCGATATAGAACCAAGAGAAATCTACGGAACTTCAACAAGAAAATCGAGGTATATTTGAGCCTAATTTACATTGGTCTAACTTAAAATAAATAAATCAATCAATCATAATCACCGGTCGTGTAGGATTGAGGCGAAAACTCCTTATATACTATACTATCCTTGTTCACCTCTGAGAGTTACATTTATTTTTTGCGACAATGTACTTAACATTTAAAATATCCTTATATTTGTATCTTTTTTTTAGAAATATTATTATATTAGTATTATAAGATACTAATAGAAGTATTTTTGTCATTTTCCATTAATTTGTACTATATTTTGATATAATAATTTATATTTAAATATCAACATGCAAAAAATAAATGTGACCTTTGGAGCCGAAGAAAGAAAATATTATATAAGTAGTTTTACATTGGTCTTACTTGTTTAGCTCACCCTTTGCCCCTATGTCTAAGGATTCCTTGTAATAAATTTGCTTTGAAATAGTACGAGTGCAGAAAAACTCTGGCGAATAGTCGACTACGCGTGAAGGGAAGATTCAAAAGGAACGAGGAAATAGAGAAGGTTCCACAGAGCGATTGGGATAACTACTTAGTCGTGGAGGATGATAGCGATTGGATCGCCTTTCTTGATCCTTTTCCAAATGAAATCATGCCATGATATACCTTAATCGCGATTGAATTCCTAGGATTTGTACATGTTTGGGAGCTCTTGTTTGATTATTGTACTGTGTTACTAAAATATTCGAGCAACGAGGTTTTTTAAGACACTACATTGTAAGAATGTGCACATGTTCAATAAAAAGGTTTTTCGACGTCAAATGGTTGTGGAAAATGCCAAGTGTTAGCGACGTGACAACTAATATAATGTTGGATCTAGATTTATAGAGTCGAACCTTTTGCCCCACATGATGAAGCCTTCCGCAAATAGTTTTATTGACAATATATGAAGAAATGGTGTGACATGATATGTCGATAAAGACAATAGAAGTCCATTAATAGTACAATAATCAAGAAGAAATTTTCTCACAGAGATTAATTTATCATAAATAATTTTGTACTAAAAGTGTTTTATAGAAGTATATGTGGTGTTTTACATATATACGATGTTTTATATATATATATATATAAATATATGATAAGTGACGGATCTAAGGAAGAGCTCGAGGGGCACCAGCCCCCCAAACCCCAAATATTACTACTGTAAAGATATATTTTTATAATATAATTATGTTAATTTGTCCTTCAAAATACTAAAATTATTACTTTGTTGTATTTTTTTTTTCTTTTCATTCGCTACTATTGTGACAAGGAGAATAAAAAAATATAGTATCAAATCAGTAAAAGTATACCGGCAGTTAGCCCCTCCGAAATTCGGAATTTGATTTGTCATTGTATATGGTGTTTTATATAAGTATGTTTGGTGTTCTATATAGTATATATTATATTTTATATTGTATTATCATTAATTTAAGAGTCCATAAAACACCGATCAAGAGTCTAGGAAACATAAGTTTTAAATATTATATATGTTATCTAGACTCTTAATAAGGTGTTTTTTAGAGACTGTACGGTACTAATTTTTCCAAATGATCGCTGTAAATGCGGCCCTAAGTATAATTTATTAAGATAATTATAAATATTACAATTTCATCATAAAAAACTAAACATAGTTCGAACATATAACAATATGAAATATACATATATGTATGTATGTATGTATATATACAAATTATTCCAAAAGCTACAAATTGCACAATCCCTTTTACTTTACTCTAACAATCAATCATTAGGACTTTCATGTTACACAATCATGGATTTCATCGGCTATAAATTTGACTGATTAAGAATCCATCTTTAGAAAAAAAAAAAAAAAAAAAAAAAAAAATGTAAAGTTTTACTCGCAAGGGATTGATGTAATTTGTGAGGTAGCTAGGGTTGTTAGAATTCTATTTCTATTTCTCTATATTTTCATACCATTTGTAGGTTGGAGGGTGTTTGAAAAACAGTTTTTTTTTTTTTTAAGAACTTTTAATTGTTTGACGAGTCAAAAAACTAATTTAGGTGTTTGGTAAATTAGTTTTTGGAAAGAATTTTTTGGACCCAAAAAGCTAATTTCTAAAAAGCTCGCGTTTTGAAAAAAACTTTTTCATTTTAATTTTGGTTATTTCTTATTTACTCTTAAAACTTAATTATTTATTTTATACATATAAATATATTTTTATAGCAGTATTAATTAATTATTTTAAATATATTTAATTTATTAAATTATACTTTTATTTTTGTAGATTTAAAATAATTACTATTATTAACTATTACATATAAATTATTTTATTTGAAAAATATATAAATTTTTAAAACTAAATCAAATAGAAAAAACAAAAGTTATTAATTTATTTGTATATATTAAAATAATAATTAACATAATAAAAATATATATACGAAAGATTTATTATTTTATATTTTACATAATTTTAATAAAAAATTATTATTTTTAGTAAAAATATTTTTCTCAAATCTAAATAATAAAAATAAAAATAAATATTTTATAGTATTTTTATAATTTTCAATAATTAATAACAAAAATTCTCATAAATTTCAAACCAAAATGAATAAAATTAAATATTTTAAAAAATAACATATCAATATCCTTAATAGTCATTTTATATATAAACCGCTAATTGAATCAGTTATTTTTGTCCGTTGTAATAATATTTGATTGGATAATTAAGAAGTGGGCAGACACATACAAACAAATACACATGTTCTTTAAAACCTTACACAACACAATATATGTTGTCTTTTTTTTGTTTTTTATATAACGCGAGAATCCGCAGTTGCTACCCGAAAATGTGCACCAAGTAAATCCTCGACCGAACCTAATACCTTGCAAACTAGATCCGACAAGACAAGTCACACTAGACTAACTATATGTGTCAGGTAGATCGCGAGGCGTCAGGGTTTGAACCCATAATACCCTTCAAACTAAATCCGACAAGACAAGTCACACTAGGCGAACTATGCATAACAGGTGGACAACATTAGAGTTTGAACCCATAACCTCATTATCATAATAAAAAATAATTTTATAAATAAATAAATAATTTTTTCTTATTTGTTTGCTCGAGTGAATTGAAATTTGAAAAATAATTTATTTCAAAATCTCTATTTTCAATTTTCTCATATATGGAAAGATAGAGAAATATTTATTTATAGGAAAAAAAAAAAAGAACTACAATTTATCTCAAATCCTTTTCATTCTGCATATAATAAATAAAAGTGAATTAATTATTTATATTATTTTCCCCCAAAATCTTCACCTCCATCCGCGTCATCACATGACAAATTAGTATTAGCATTTTATAAATAAATTAATATAATAATAATAATAATAATGATAATATTTGACATATTATAAATTATTACTTCCTCCGTCCGATGGCACTTTCTTTATTTAGAAAATGATTACATACTTTAATCTCATTTTAAACTTTTTAATTTATTTTTTAAAAAATTTTAATTAAACGAATTAGTTATCTTAATTTTAATTTATAATTATTTATATTATAGGATAATTATTTTTACTAATACATTCTTAATTATTTATGTGGATGGAAGGAGTATTTTATGTATCTTTTTCATATATATGCATGAATAAATAATAATTAATTTTTTATTGTATTTCTAACAATTGAAATATCTATTTTAGCAAACAAAATAATAAGACTTGCACATATTTTCCAACAATTTAGGCCATTTTACTACATGGTATCATTTCAAACCGTATTAGGTTCGGTAGGAAGTTTACGCTATTCCCACGTCATAAAAATAAATAATGAATCTCGTATATGACCTTACGTACCGGCTATTGTCTTTTCAACTTTCGAGTCTTCTTCTTCGATAGCCCGAGTTTGAATGGAAATAAGAAAGGTTTATGAGCTGAACTTCTCTTTCTCCGGTCTCTTCCTGAAACCACAAAAAAAAAAAGCATCGAACATTATTTTCAACGAAGCGCGCCACATTATTACGATAGAACTAAATCATCTATCATCGTAAGGTAAGGCAAATAAAACAAACGGCGCAGAACAGGTCCGTCACGTATCAAATGATCAAACAACTAAATAACCGTGAGAATAAAATTTACCAGTATGAAATTTTCGAGAGCCTTGACGACAATTAGAGGTGACATCTGTTCCACTCCGATCTTCAATTATACCGTGCAAGATTTGCTCGCTAGAATCTGCTTTCAGATTCAATGGTCGATCAATGATCATGTCAGTTGCTTCATTGTTTGTTCCACATTGCTCCCGAGCCACGCATACTTCGTGAGAAGATGTATCAGGTGCTGTGAAGGTTCTTCCTTCTTCATTTTTAATGTCGAACTTGTTTTGAGTATTCCCCGGCGCAACCGCTTCCACTTCATAAATACTATCTTCACGATGATTTCCCACATTTGCCGAGGAGCTAGATTTATACGAGACATTAGGGAATTTTTCTGAAGCTCGATCATCAGTGATAGGCGCATTAATGTCAATGGTACGAACTTGGCTATCGCCACTTATATCATTCCCTCCAGAAACATCAGATGCCATAAGTTCGGCTTTCAATTCAGTCGAGTTGTTCGGATTCCTCGTTGATGACTTTGCAGTAGTCTCTACAATCTCCATGGCAGTAGGTGTAGGTATGGAGTTATCGGTAGTTGATTGTTCTAACGACGTGTTAACACCAATTAGATCCTTAATCTGCAGTCCATGTGCCGGCAAGCCATTCAGATTTGAGGAAAAGTCGACAGTCTTCAAAACTCCTTTGACACTGTTGGAAATTGCAAAAGACTTTTCCATCTCATCCAATAGAAGATCTCCTTCGCCGCTAGAAATAGGATCCCATTCATCGAATGCAGATTGTGAAAATTTAACTTCTCCAGCTGACGGCATTCTTTCAACCTTAATAGCCTCCTTGTAAAATCGTCTTTTCTTTAACGTGTTAGCTAGGAGAGATCTGCACAGCAACAAAACAGAGAAACAAGCCGGCATTATCAAAAAAGTTGAAACAAGATCAAAAGGGCAAGTAAAGCTTAAACAATCTTGCATACCGACAATTTTTGGATATTGCTGCTTTTGCGCGTTCTATAGGGAGCCCAACCAGAGAGAGCAAGTTTGCAGCATCGTGAGGTCCTCTAAGTTCAGTTGCGGAAGAAGCAGCACTGCTGATAATTAGGTTCTGCCCTCGTGTCCAATCAACAAGTAGCTGCAAGCTTAGAGAAAGAATCAGTTCCAAACCGAAAAAATAAAAGTAAAAATCACTCTCTGCTTTCAAAAGAAACCGTAAAATTGCATTAATCGCTATATATATCGAATCATTAACTACTCTCCAAACTTGCATACTTTCAAGAAGGCAAAGAGCTTTTGCTTGTATAGATATGTCATATGAAATGGCCTAACCCAAATATGCATGTTTCGCACTTGGAACAATATATTAGCTCATTAGACAACAATAATTTGCTTATAGATAAAATGTAAGAACTAAAATAAACAACAAAAGTATTTCGATAGGTCACCTAAATGAGATACCTACATTCAAGAATAAAGTCCGGTTTAAAGAAGTTGAGGCTTCGCAATAGTTAGATAATTGCAACATTTGGTGGAGCAACATTCACGTAAATTAGAACTATTAAAGCTGTAAAGTCGAAAATCTGGTGACAAAAGCTAGAAAAGTTGGTGTTTCCAAACTCTGCCGTGTTGTAAGTTGCCATTTTTTCTGGTAATATAGCTGTATAGCAGCTTTTATATCATCATGTTTAGACTCTGAAATCACAAACAAACGGCATACAAGGTTCTGGCAAACTAACTTAGGTAACGTCACTTTTTCAAGAGCTACATATTCGGAAACAGCTCAATGCATGTCTTAGAACGTATTGAGCTAAATGTAACTTGAATTACGTAATTCCTTCCATTTTGTAAGAACTAAGGCAGACATATGACATTCAAATTCAATGAGACAACCAAATTTATTGTTCGTTAACGAAACAAACTACTTGCGTTCTACTCTTAGTTCTCCTTTTTAATATTATGCGAGCACAAGCTTCAGTATATCCAGAGACTGCATCTTTTACATCAATTTATCGGAGAACATTGAGAGAAAGCTACTTAATTTTCCAAAGGCTACATTTCTCAGCAAGCAGAAATTCCACCCATCAATATAACAAAACCTAAATATATTCCAAATACGATGCAATACTTCATTCAAGAATCTACCTATGAAACATCCAGTAAAGAAATTACAGATTCCGTGATCTTTTCTACGGATTACTTGGGAGGCAACTCTTCGCTTTAAACTAATGAGTTCACTTGTCAAGCATTGCATTTTACTTCATAATCTTGTAGGAGTAACACTCCAAAGAACAGATAATATCGACATAGGTGAGTTTTAATACATAAAACATTTAGAATGCTGTGATAAATCGAGAATCAGGCCTGTACAAATCCAGCATACTCACCTTGCAATTAGCTATAATTTGCCGCCTCGATTGTGCATCGGAAATAAGGCCGGAGTATGTGATCTCAAAGTAAACCCCACGCTGTATAATCGAAAAGTTCGAAACAATAGTTAAGAACATCAAATTGATGAAACTAAGTAAAACATATTAAACATTCCACAAAGTACACTTTTGCTGATTTTTTGAACTCTGCTGTAATCATCATTAGCAACTCATAAACACCATTAAAATGACTCCGAAAGAAAGGAGGAGAACCTTCACGGCAGCTTTAACCATCGGTTGCTTTAGCCTGAATGGCAATTTATCTGAAAATTCAATGGCGATCATATCCACCTAGAAGATGAAAGCCAAAAAAAAAAAACCAGAGAAAATCAATCGATTGTCGAAAACACTACAATTCATTATCCAAAATTCAAATACCTCCGATGTTTGGCAAGCCTGATCGAATGCGTTTTGGTTCATCGGCCGAACAGCCACAATATCGTAGCTCTTGAGGACAGGATTACCGGAATTGAGAGCTGAAGCTTGAGCAGGCGAATCGACGATTACAGTGAGTCGAGTGTACTGCCGGAAAGGAGAGGAAACGGGGACATTGAGAAGCTCGCGATGGAACTTGACGGCGGCAACGAAAGACGAGGAGGACGAAGCTCCGAGTTTAGCGAGAGGGAAGAGCGTTGTCGAGCAGCGATCGGAATCGGACATGACGCCTCGGAGAGTGAGGTTGTAGGCGACGCCGGTGAAGCCGAGCTCCATGGCTTTGAGGACCAGCTTCAGGCGGCGGCCTTTAAGGGCGGATTTATCTGTGACATGGCGGTCGGATTCAAGATACGGAATGTTCAAGTCGAAGAAACCCATTCGACGGCAGCGGCGCGGCGGCGGAGGAACGGGGAGACCAGCAAAAGCAGTTGTAATCGGCCGGCGGCGGCGACAGAGTATTTGCGGTGGAGTCGATCGCTGAAATCGACGGCTACGATTAAATTCAAGTAGTTAGGTTAAATTAGGGTATGCTTCGAACAAATTAAATAATTATATATCTATATTTATTTTTTATCCATAAAAAAATATATTTTTATTAATAATAAATAAATAAACAGAGCTCAGTTTGAACTTATTAATTTTTAGTATACTTTATTAAAAAGAAAAATTATAGAATATTAGGTTCAATGGGAGTTGTAAGCATTTTCGGTACCAACCGCGGATTTCTACGTAAAAAATAAAATAAAATTATCCTTGTGAGAATGAATTTTGTGAGTAATGTTTTATACTTTGAAAGTTGGATATAAATTTTAATTTTATTAAAATATAACCATAACAAAAAAATAAACTAAAAAGAAACATAATAATAATAATAATAAAAATAATCATAAGAGATTTCGTTTATTTGATATTTGATTTTGTATATTAATTTTATGTTTTATTTAAATAGTAATTTCGACCTAATATTTTTATAAAATATAATTTTTTATAGAAAATTATAGACTATATTTGTTTACTATATTAAATACGAAAAGAAATTATATCAATAATATAAAAAAATAATATTTTGTTATTAAATATTAATTTTTTGTGAGAAAATATAAGATATTTCTTCTGTGAGGTAAATTGTGTAGATTAAATTAGGCATGGTAAAAAAATAAAGATATTTTAATATCAAAGTGAAGTAGGTAAAAAGTAAAATAATGTACTATAAATAATTTATTATAATAGTGACAAATTAATTATTATTCGTAATAAAACTATAAATTGATAAAGTTATTTACTATAAATAAATTACGCATAAGTTTAACTAACGATAAAAGAAAAAAATATAGTTACATAATTTTAACTAACTGTAAATTATGCTACTGTGAAATAAAGATATGTTATCTATTCGTACTTATAATGTGTTAAAATAAACCATTACAATACAGTGTAAAATAAAGACATATGTTGTATTTATATTTTATCTGTATATTTTATTTTTATTTTTCCCCAAATCATCACTAAGCAAGGTAATTCCTCCCTAAATATTACTCTCTCCGTCCCTGACACCCGTGCTACATTGTAGACACGGTATTTTAAGAGAGGTGTAATTAGTAGATAATTAAAAATATATTAGTGAAAATAATTATCCTATAATATAAATAATTATAAATTAAGATTAAGATAACTAATTAATTTAATTAAAATTAAAAAAAATAAAATTTAAAAATTTAAAATGAAATTAAAGTGTGTAATCATTTTCCAAAAAAGGAAAGTGACATGGTATGTGGGACGGACAGAAACGACAACGTGGACATGGTATCTGGGACGGAGGGAGTAATATTTTTAAAAGTTCGAATCTAATTTAAATATCTAACTATTGTCAATAATAATTAATAATGTAATGATAAGAAAGGAAATAGATTTAAATTTTGAAACAATTTTCTTTCCAATGTAAAAAGATTCTAATTTTTATTAATTATGGGGATATTTCAATTTTCATCGCTCTATATATACCTACCCATACGACATAAAAATACATATACAAAAATTACATATACACAAATATATTATGGAGATCAAATCCTCTCTTAGTATTTTCTTTCTCGTGTTCTTAATTTCTTTCTACGGTATGTCTTTTTTTTTTTTCATCTACATTTATAATTAATTTAATTTATATTCGAAGAATTTTTTAGTTATAAGCAACATTGATCTTAGTAAATTATATGATTTATATTTCGAAAATACTAAAATTTTGAATTGAATATCGTTTGATGTGTTATTTTAAATAATAAACTAGTTTTTTATGTGATAAAATTAATATGTATTTTGTTATTGTACAGGAAACAATTTGGTGACGGCGCAAACGATGTGCACTTCTATTATTAGCTCGGGATGTACAAGTGATTACAATTGTCGACACGATTGTAATGCAGCGGGCTTTCCGTTCGGCGAGTGCGAATTTCAAGGGCCATCTCCGAGAATTTGTGTGTGTAGGAAACCTTGCTGAATAATAGAATGAAGTGGACGATAGTTTACGGTTAAAAATAAAAAAATAAAAGTTAATTTTTCTCTATATAATATAATAAAATATATTGTCGGTCATTTTTTTATCATATTCAGCATGAATGAGAATTTCATATTATTCTAACAAAGGCTTTGAAATTATTTATTGCAAATAAACATAAATAAAATAAAATAAATCATCAAGGGAAGAATCAAACAATAATAGAAAAAAAAGACAGAGTGTGTTTATTTTGTAAAATAGTTCAAAAATATATTTTTTTTATATGAAATGTAGAAAATTACGTAAGTAATATAAGAATAATAAAATATGTGTAATATATTAATTTTTTTGAAAAAAGCTGTGTCGACTTTTTTTTTTTTTTTTTTTTTTTTTGTTTTTTACAAAAACAACACACCTGAAGGAATGATTTGATTTCTATTTTGTATTTGTGCATATATAAAATTTGTATGTATATATATAGTGACAAATTGTTCTCTCTTTTTTAATTAGTAAAAATGAAATCAATTTTTTAAATATTTAATTCCCTTTTTCTAATCAATACAAATTAGTCTTTTTTTTTTAGACCAGTAAAAAAATACTCCCTCCGTCGTTCAAATATATGCTCACTTTCCTTTTAGAGTTGTCATTAAAATTATTTTCGTTTATTTTTTAAATAAAAAATTATTACACTTTTGTACTTTTTTTTTTACAATAAAAGAAAAAAGTACCAATTATTACTCACTTTTATTAAAATTTATGTCCGGTCAAATAAGCACACGTTTGCATGAGGAATGAAGCAATTGTTTTTTATAAAAATAATTTTCTTTTTCCTATCATTAGCTTAGGATGCAATCAACTATGATTATTACTATCTTTATACTATTTCTTATTGACAGCAATTACACATTTTTGTTAAGATTTTCCACTTTATTATATTATTGAAAGAAACAAAATAAATAAATAAATAAATCATACTCCTATTTTATGCATTTTTTAAAATTATTATTATAATTTTCACAGGTGCATAAATAATTAATTATTTAGCCTTATCAAATTTTGCCTAATTTAATTTACTAACTAGCCTTAGTAATGAGTTTGCTCATAAATCAAACATAGAAAAATATATTTTTCTCATTTTAATGAATCAAATCATTGATCTATAAATGTAAATTGTTCATAGATTTTGAAATTAACTATAATTAATTAGTTAATCTTTTTAATTTAATAAAGAGACTTTTTTTTATTTATTTATTTTTTATGATTGAGATATTTCATCACTCTATATATATACTCACACAAAAATTATATATTCACAAATATATTATGGAGATCAAATCCTACCTTAGCCTTTTCTTTCTCATCTTGTTGGCTTCTCCCTTTGGTAAGGATTTTATATATTTATTTTCCATCTATATTTAATTTAATTTATGATATTATAAGAACTTTTTAAATTATTGAGTAACATTAATCTTAGAAAACATTTTATTATTTTATAAGTGATGATTATGTAAAGGAAAAATATAAGTGGTTTCTTAGATGGTATTTCTTGAATATTTGAATTTGGATTTGTAATTTGAAAACAATACAATTTTAAATAAATAGTGTTTAATATGATATTTTAAATAATTATTTTTTGTGTAATAAATTTTTATATATTTATTGTTCTCGTGTAGGAAGCAATTTTGTGATGACGCAAAAGATTTGTACTTCTATTCTTAGCTCGGGATGTACAAGTGATTTTAACTGTAAACTAAATTGTAGAACAGCGGGCTATCCATCCGGCGAATGCCAATTTCATGGGCTATCTCCAAGAATTTGTGCGTGTAAGAAGCCCTGTTGAACGATAGAATGAAGTCTATGATATTTTACGATCAAAGAAAAAAATAAAAATTAATGTCGCTATGATAGTATAATAAAATGGTATTGTCAAAGTACTTTATTGTATTCAACATAAATGAAAATTTTGTTTCTTGTTTTATGTTGCATTAGATAAAATAAAAATAAAAATAAAAATAAATTGAAAGTTTTATTTTCTTTATGATTTTTTTCGATTTCTTTATATAATATCTTGGATCAAAGCAATATATATATATATATATATATAATTGGCCACAAAAGTCTAGTGAATGAAACTCAAAATTATGGAATTGGCCACAAAATTTATTTTTATTGTTATATTTTTTTTATAAAAAAAATCTCATTCTCCAATTTTTCAACCATCAATAGATATGAACAAGATTTGTCCGATAATGTATTGGCTCGTGGTGTGGAGATGGATTCGTGACTGTGAGGTTATGGTTCAAACTTCCGCGTGATTTACCTAGTGTGACTTGTCTTGTCGAATCTAATTTGTAAATTATTGGATTTAATCGAAAATTTATCCAAAATGCACTCAAATAATAATGTTTGTGAATTCCCTCGTGATTAAAAAAAGAGAGAGAGAAAAGATATGGACAAAATTTAGTCCCGAAGGAGTGGTTAGTGACATGGGGTTCACAAGTTCAAATTTCCAACATGAAAAGTAGCGTTTGCAGATTGTTATATCATTATATTAAGGAGGTGTTTGACAAACAAGAGCTTTTAGCTTATTTAACAGTTTTTAGTTGTTTAACCAGTCAAAAAACTAATTTAGGTATTTGGTAAATTAGTTTTTTGAAATAGTTTATTGGCGTAAAAAAAAAAAAAAAAAAAAAAAAAAAAAAAAAACTTATTTCTGAAAAGTTATATAACCCAGCATTTTGGAAGATCTTTTTCACTTTAATTTTATTTGTTCCTTATTTGCCCTTAAAATGATATTATTTATTTCACATACATATAAATATATTTTCTACTGCAGTAATTATAAATTATTTTAATATACTATTTCTTAAATTATAATTTTATTTTTATAAAGTTAAATTAATTAAATTTTATATATTCATTAATTTTATTTGTAAACTATATATTTATTAAAATAAAACAAAAACATAAATATTATTATTTTATTTTTATATTAAAATTAAATTAAATAGAATAAATTTATTAAAAATTATAAATATAATCAATTAATCAATAATAAATAATAAATATATATACAAAAATTTTATTATTTTATATTTTACATCATTTTTAATAAAAAAAAAATATATTAATATTTCTTAATAAAAATATATACTATTATTTTTCTCATATCTAAAATTAATAAAAAAAATATTTTATAACACATTCGTAATTTCAAGTAATTAATAACAAAAATTTTTAAATTTTTAAAACTAACAAAATACAATTAAAAATTTTAAAAGTTAAAATATAAATACCTTCTATTGTCATTTTACATATAAACAATTAATATCAAATAGTTATTTTACTAATTAAATCAGATAGTCAAACCGCAAGAATCAGATAGTCAAACCCTAACAGCTAATTGAATTAGCTTTTAAACCCACCCTAAAATAAAAAAAAATATATATAAAATAAAAATTATAATAAAAAAAAAGACAAAATTTAATACTACTACAAAATCTTTAAAATATAATTTCTTTTTCTTTTTCTTTTTTACTCTAAAAAAGATCAAATGAGTGTAGGGAGTATTGTTAACCAAAATCATCCCAACTCAAAGGACAATTTTATTATTCTCGTCCACTCAAAAATATCATTTTTATAAAAATAATCGTACCTAAATTATTAAAATACAATTACTTTATACTTATATAAAGTAAGTAAAAAACAAAAAACATCAAAATAATTTACACACTTTCGCTATTCCACTCTTAATCTACTACAAAATTCCAAAAATTACTATCAGCGTCGTCAGAATGTTGTCTCCAAAATAACAAACAAATAAACAATGATAATGTAAAGAAAGTAGTGTAATAATAAAGAAAGTAATGGTAATGTCGCCCACAATTATCAGGCAATCATTCATAATAATCTTCATCTTCTTCATCAAATCCACATTTCAAAACTCTTCCCTCTCAGACCACATCAGTTCTTGCCATTTCTCTCTCTCTCTCTCTCTCCTGATCTGGACAGAGGAAGAGCTCTGCCTAAATTGTGTCTATACTAACCTTTTGCCAAAAACTATCCGCAGCCCTTCCGACAACCTCTTACTCTACCTTCTCTTTCGAAGATCTCGTCCGGACGCTGCTCGTGAATCTCCCAATCATCTTCAGAACCTCATCGATCAGAATCACGGGAAAAGCGACAGCCAGGACGAGCAGCCACTCGTTCAAGCTCAGCGGCACGATCCCGAATATCTGCGCGAGGAACGGGACGTAGAGGATCAAGAAATGCAGGCCAAAGGAGACGGACATGGCCAGGAGGAGCCACGGGTTGACCCAGGGGGGCATCGACAGGAGGCTGCCGTCCTCGGAGAGAGCGTTGAGCGAGTTGAACATCTCGATCGCCACGAGGACCGAGAGGGACAAAGTCATCGCCTTGATCTTGCCCGCCTGGAAGTAGTCGCAAGCGTCGTCGAATCTGATCACCTCCCCCCCCGCTGTCGTGAAGGGCGTCGCCGTGAAGTTCTGCCACGACGGGCACTGCCCCCAGTTCGCGAGCTGCGCGTATGTCACCAGGGTGTGCCCATCGCCGCTCAGGTCGATGCCGAGGAACGACGACTGGGTGTACCAGATGATGAAGATCCCGACAGTCGCTATCCCAACGTACGCTCCGATCACCTGCACCACAACACATGGGTACGATAAGTCGATAAGTCGATAAGCCTAGGTAGAGCTGCTAATGAACCAAGCCAAGCCAAATTTTAAGTATTCGTTAACATTCGCGAACAAAGCTCTTGTTCATTCGTTAAGCTTTCAAGCTCGTTCGTAGTGTTCGAGTTCGACCCGTTAAAAATTAACGTTATTTGAGCTCATGTTCATGTTCAGCTCGATTAAATTCGTTCGAATTCATTCGAGCTCGTTTGTCTCACTTTTTTTAATTTATATATAAAATTTAAAAAAATATTTTATTTATTTATAAATTATAATTTTATATGTATATATAATATTTATAATAAATATATTATTTAAACGAACGTTCGCGAACAAAACTCGGATTAACGAGTTTGTTTATATTGTTCGGCTCGGCTCGTTAATGTTCGCGAACGAGATTTAACCGAGCCAAGTTCACAAACAGCTCGGGTTCGTTTAACAGATCTAAGCCTAGGAAGCAGATAATGGGCAAAACATAAAACCGAAAGAAAACGAGCATTACCAAGTAACGGAATAGGATCCATGGGGTGATCAACGAGTCGTCGCTTTTCCTAGGTGGCTTCTTCATTACGTCGTTGTCCGGAGGATTGAATCCTAAAGCGGTAGCCGGGGGGCCGTCGGTGACCAAGTTAACCCACAGCAGCTGCACGGGAATCAACCCTTCGGGAATGCCCAGCGCGGCGGTTAGAAATATCGAGGCGACCTCGCCCACATTCGAGGAGATCATGTATCTGCAAGAAAGATTCGGTTTTTACGGAAATTGAATCGACAATATGATTAAAAGTAATTTTTTTGAACCGTGAATTAATAATAAGTCGTCTACCGGGCTCTCATGAAAATCAAATCAGCTCTTATTTACTTACTAATTTAACAGGTCCGTTTATCATCATAGAAATACAGCGTTATTTAATGGTAAATTTTGACATTAGACAGTTGAAATGCTTCTAATCTGGTTTAAGCTTTTTTTGAAATCCACAAGTGAATTAACTACATAGAAGAGTCGAAAATAATTAATGGGCGACAGCATCAAAGTTTAGAATCGCACGCCCACAAAACACGACTTTAGATACCCAAGATCACGCAAGATGAATAAGTCTAATGACTAAGATCAATATTCGATAAATTCAATCCAAAACCATGTGATGACAGAAAATCAGGACGAGGATATAAACGTACCTTATGAAAGCCTTCATGTTATTGTAAATTGATCTTCCTTCGCCAACGGCAGCAACAATAGTGCTGAAGTTATCATCGGCTAAAACCATGTCTGAAGCTTCTTTTGCGACCTACAGCACAGATATTTAGAAAAAGAAATTAATAAGTTTTTTCTAAGAACAACTATCCTGCTTTCTTCGACAAAAATGGAATTCAAAAATAAAAATAAAATTGCAACATACATTAGGTCCTCGACTCATCATATAATCAATTTCAATGCTTGTTATAAGAAATTCCCAACAATTAATAAGATCCCGATAAAAAATCAGCCATTTTTGTTTACAAAAAGTTACCTCAGTCCCCGAAATGCCCATTGCAATACCAATATCAGCTAGTTTCAAGGCGGGTGCATCGTTCACCCCGTCGCCAGTCATTGCGACCACTTCGCCGGAGTCCTTGAGCAACCTCACTATCTCCTGCTTATGCCTAGGCTCGGCCCTCGAGAAAAGAAGTCCTCCACTTTGACGTAAATGCGCCTCTTTTTCAGCATTCGACCGCTCCATAAACTCTTTCCCTGTTAAGCTCCTTGAATCGATATTTTCATGGCTCCCAAACACACCTATTTCACGACAAATCGCTTCAGCTGTATTTTTGTTATCTCCTGTGATTACAATAACCCGAATTCCGGCTGTTCTGCAGTCCTCAAGTGCCTTGGGAACTTCTCTCCGAGGAGGATCCTTTAATAATTTATACAAATTTCAGAACTCATTCTGAATCATCACAATAAACATACAAATTTTAAAAATAAAAAATGGAATGTCGACTCACTCTTATCCCAGCCAGGCCGACAAAAATTAAGTTGCTCTCGATCGAGGAATAATTTGCGGGATTCAACAACAGCTCATGAGCTGGATGATCCTCCTCGCCGTTGTATGAGGCAAATTGCGGGAGGTCATCGTTGTATGCAAAGCCCAAAACTCGTAATGCATTAGTCGACATTTTGTTAAGGCTTTCCAGTATAGCTTTCTTTGAATTTTGATCTAGTTTTTCGATTGAACCGTCGAGGAGTTGCACATACGAACTTCTTTCCAACAAGGACTCCACTGCACCCTGAGTTTTATCGGAATCATAAAATACCTCAGACCACGAATAAATAAGATCAAATTAACTAAACGATGTACTTTAGTTTCTAAAATAATTAAATTCTAAAAGTAACCGAAACCTTACCTTCACAAGAAGTGAGTTTTTCCCGGTGCTAGATTTTACAATAACTCCCATGGATTTCCTATCACGATCAAACTCAAGTGTCCCAATCCGTTTTTCGATTTGACTCCATGTTTGGGAGCACCCTTGGATGATCCAATTGAAATTGCTTGAAATTAACAACACCCTCAACTTTAAATAAACATAATATAAGAAAAGCTCGAAGAACAACTTACTTAAGACACCGTCATAACCCGAAGACGCGCTGGTGTTTAATTCATTTGGAAGTCCCATTTTCTCCACCATAACCTGAAGATAAAATCATGCTAAGCTATTATCATCACTACTATAATTTCGCTGAATCTCAATACAAGACTAAGAATCAGAAACCTAAGCAACAATGCCATATACTGTAACAGTCAATATCAAATGAGTAATTTTACTTCAGGGTACGTAAATATTTTATTACCTTAAGTGCAGCCTCAGTCGGCATTCCGTTGGCCACATATCGCCCGGTGCCGGCTTTCTCCACATCAGCATCATTACAAATAGCAGCAATCTTGGCAATCATTTGAAGGTTAGAATCCAATTTTCCCATCAGCCAGTTCTCGATTTTCCCTTCAAATGGATCGTAGTTAGTTCCATGTACATTAAAAGAACGGACAACAGTCGCCTCTGAACCCATTGCGACAAGCTTAGATACCGCCATCTGATTTGTCGTCAAGGTACCAGTCTTGTCAGAACAAATCACAGTCGTGCAGCCGAGGGTCTCAACACTTGGCAGCTTGCGGACAAGCGCATTTTTAGCAGCCATTTTACGCGTACCGAGCGCCAAACATGTCGTAATAACTGCAGGCAAACCTTCCGGAATAGCAGCAACAGCCAACGCCACGGCAATCTCGAAGTAATAAGTGCACTTTTCAAATGAAAACTTGAAATTCGTCGGCCATCCATTGACAATATCCCAAGAAAGGAAATACTTCACATTAATAAGCCAAACCAACGTGCAAATCGTGCCAATGATCGCCGTCAATACCTCCCCAAATTCATTCAACTTCTTCTTCAACGGCGTGTCGTCATCCCCCTGCGCCGCCTCGTGAATCTGCATATGCACCTGCCCGATCTCCGTGTTCATCCCTGTCTGTGTCACCAAACAAATGCAATTCCCATTAACGACTGTTGTCCCGGCGAACACCATACACTTCTTCCCCTGAATCTCGACGTCCTCGTCAACAGGCTTCGTCGTCTTACTAACAGCTTCGCTCTCCCCTGTCAAGGAGCCTTGCTCGACTCTGAGAGTCGAGCTGATTAAGCTTAAAACCCTCATATCCGCCGGAACTTTATCCCCTACTTTTAACTCCACAATATCCCCCGGAACAAGCTCCTTCGCGGGTAAACTCGAAATTCTCCGGCCATCCCTAACAACAGCAGCGTGCTCAGACTGAATTTCCTTCAAAGCATCCAGAGCTTTCTCCGCATTGTTCTCCTGCCAAACTCCAACAATGGCGTTCACTATCAAAATCAGGAATATCACCAGAGGCTCCACGAACGCAGTGATCTCCTTCTCCCCGCCTTCCTCCCCGTCGTACCACGCCAAAACGAACGACACAACCGCCGCCACCAGCAGAATCCGCACCAGAGTATCGTTGAACTGATCCAGAACAAGCCTGAGAATCGAAGGCCCCTCGTGCTTCTCCAACTCGTTCAATCCATAGATCTGCCTCCGTTTCTCGACCTCCTCCGCCGACAATCCGTACTCCTTCCTCACTTGATACTTCTCCTCGCACTCCTTCACATCTCTCGACCACGCCGCGTAATAACCTTCCTTCGATTTCCTCCCGTCCCCCAATTTCTCACTCTTACCGTAATTCTGCCCTCCTTTCCCCATCAACGACCAAAATCCACCTGAAAAACGAATAAACCGAATCAAATCAATGCATAAACATCACAACAATCCAATCCATCGCCGTCTCATCAAAACCTAACAACAATCGATCTACCGAATAACAACGCAATTAGGGTAAAAACACGAAATATTAACACCCAGTCAAAGTGAATCTACCTAACGCTTAACGAGGGGCAATCCGGCGGAATGAGAAGAACCCAAGACGCAAGAGAAACCGCAAAGATTGAAATTTTGCAATCCCCGAAGGAACTTCTTCCTTCTTCTGTAACTTGGAGAAATAATCGGGTGCGAAATTAAACACAGATCTGTAGAAGAGAAGAAAGTATTAAAGAATACAACCTTGGATAGCTTCTCGGTACCTTCTCCCCACAATAATAGCTGTTCTAGTTATTGATATATATATTTTTTTCAAACTTTTTTTCTACTTCCACTCCTCGAATATCTATCGCCACACCAACTTATTTACGGTGACAAAATTACCCTCTGTGAAATTGTACAGTAATATTTACTAAAATATTTTTTTATAAAATATGATTGTGTATTTTTTTTTACTAAAAAAATTAATATGTTATATATTTTTTATTTCTAGGATTTTAGATTTTTTTTTAGTTTAGAATAATAAAAATTTGAATTGAAATAATTTTTTGATATGATATAAATATTAATTTTAATTTAGTATAATAAATAAAAAATAAATATTAATTTAATATTTTTTAAAAAATAATAAAAATTTGGAATAATAAAAACAAAATTAAAGTTTTAACAAATTAACACATCCGATTTCAAGATTTACTTATATTATGTGATATTTATAATCATATCACAATAATATGTGATATGTTCCATATATAATATTTATTGTCTCCTAAATATTATGTAATATTTTTTTTTACATGTTTTAAAATATTATGTAATATTTTCAAAATAAAAAGTAATTATTTATATTTTATCTAATCATATCACTCAAAAATAAAATAAATATATATATATTTATCTCTTATCGACCTGATCTAATTTCAATCACATCACATAATTTTTAAATTATCATTTTTGAAATTTTATAGTAAATTAAAAAATAATAATATTTTATTTATCAGTAGAAATACGTAAAAAGTTTGACATTTTTATCTTATGTTGTATGTGTAATGGTACATTTGTAATTTAATTAAAAAATTAGAGTATTTTGGTATTAGTGAAAATATATAATTATTTTTACTAAAATAAAATGAATATTTTTTTAGCTAGACAAATAAGAATAATAAAAAGATATTGTGAGTTGAAACGATGAGAATATTTAATATTACTCATCTAAATTCATGTGTAAAAAATCATATATTGTATAAGATGTGTTTCATACTATATTTTTAGATAAAGTGGATTATATTTTAGAAATATATACTGATATATAATATAAATATATAGAAAAATATTATAAGTATATTTAAAGTGTGTGTTTGCTTATACAGAGGTTTTTGGAGGTTTTTGAAATTTTGGAAGTTTGGAAAAAAATTTAAAAAATAGTATTTAATTTAATATTTTGAAAAAAAAAAAATATTTGATGTGATGATTTTGAAAAATGAATAGAATCAAATAAGTGAAAGTATGCTGCGTAAACAAAGCCTTTATTTGTGGGATTTTGATTTTGAATTTGCGCTTTAAACCGTACTTCTTTCTTGTAGGTTCAATGTACCTATTTATTTATTTTAAAATAGATTAATAAATAATAATATGTTATTAATCAATCAAAATGTGTAAGATTATTTAGATATTTTCATCTTTGAAAGTACAAATAAAATAAATACTTTTATAAAAATTAAAGATACTTTAGTTTTTAAATATAATCATTGTTACTATATATGAAAATAAATATTTTTTAAGAAGACAAAAAATAATGATAAAAATAGTAACATTTGAATTAGGACAAAAGTAATAAGTTTTTAGATATATATTTTTTATATATTAACAATGTGATTATTCATATCAAATATTTAAAATTATATATTTAAAAACACAAAGTGATATAATTTTTTTTTTGATACCATAGAAAAATCACAATTGTTATTGTAAATTTTCAACCAAACGTAATACTCCCTCCGTCTCAGAACTATAATATTAATTGGGTTGGACACGTAATTTAAGGAATATTGATATTATATTGGTAGTTGATAAAAAGTATAGACAAAAAATTTTTTTGTCCTTGTGAGTGTAGTGTAAAAGGTAGTAGCTATTGTGTAATAAAAAAAAAATAGAGGTAGTTTTATGGTGATATGGTTATTTATAGAATTAAGACTATTGTTTTGGAACAGACAAAAATGATAAGTAATATTATTGTATTAAGACGGAGGGAATGCCAACAAAGTTGTGTGACTCTTCATATTTAAGATTGTATTGCTTGTAAGATTTTCGTTAAATATTTATTTTTATATTGATATATATATTTATATAATATTAAGTAATTATTTTAATTTAAAATTATATTATTCTAATCATAAACTCAAAATTCAAATAAAAAAAAAAGGTTTTCGTTTTTTATTTTTTCAATATTTTCTATAATTTGATTGACTTTTCTTCCAAAATATTATACATTTAATATAAAAATTAAATTTCAATAAAAAAATCTGAAAAAATAAAATAAAAAAATCATTAATACTAATCGGTTGGTTACAAATTTTAATGGTGACAAAGAGATGTAAACTACCAGGGGCAAAATCGACTTTTCACATTGAAACGTGCGCCTCAATGATCCGGCAGTATTTAACTAATTTTCCCTTTCCAATAGTCGCGCAAGGTTGGGCACTTTTTCTAGTGTAGATCGTGTCCCACATGCTCCCAACCTATAGAAACACGCCACGTGGAATGACAGCGACGTGGCACAATCTCATTTGTGAAGAGTTTGGCGAAGATTCCAGCACGTAGCAAACTTTTGACGCGAAGAAACTTCCAGGAACTTTCCTGTTGAGTCAAAGAGAAGCTCCGCAACGGCGACGTTTCGAGTGTACAAATCTAAAAGCATTCTTTTCCAACAAAAAATATTTTTATTTTTAATTATCATGAACTTAGTATTATTATTTTATTTTTTTATTTTTAAAAAATATTGTATTTAATATTCACTCTGTCGACTATTTGATAGTTTCCTTTTCATTTGAAAATATGTTTTTCTTTGTATATATATATAATACTCTTTCTTCATTTTATAGTATGTTATAGTCTTTTTTTATGTGGTAAAATTTATTGATTAAAAATATATTTACAAATATAAATAATTTAATTAATTTTATAATATATAATATATTAATTTAATTAAATATAGGATCTATTTAAAATAGTTTTATTTATATTTATTTTTTCAATAAATAAATATTTTTATATATATTTAAAATTTTACATTTTTTACAAAATTATTATATATTAATCATAAATAAATAAATATTTTTTTATTATATAAAATTTTATAATCTACAAAATGAAGTCATATATAAATTTTAAAAAAAATATTTAAAAATGTATTCTAGGTGTGTTGGTTTTGTGAAATAATTTGAAGGGATATTTTTTATGTGAAATATAGAGAATTATGAAGATGATATAAAATTAATAAATGTGTGTAATATTTATTATTATTATTATTATTATTTTGAGAAAATATGTAGGAGAAAATATTAAAAAGAATTTAATCATATATATTAGTATTTTATTTTTTAAAAAAAATTCTAATCATATCACTTATATAAAAAATGCTAATAAAATAATATCATAATTTACTATTATTAACTAATTAAATATTATTACTTTAAATACCGTATCTCAAAGCAATATATCAATTGAGATGAGGCAGCATGATACCCTGAGATGATGTGATACCCTCGAGGTTGAATGGAAGATTAAATTGAGAGGTTTAATATGATATTAAATTAATTGAATAGATTACTCATGTTAACAATATACATTTATTTATTTATTTATGTTTTTTCAAGGGTTCATTTGAGATAACTTTAAAGTTGGCGTGTTTGCTTTAGGAAAGCGCATGAGTGGAGATAAAATGTTGTATGTCTCTACTTGTGTGTGTTTGTGTTTATGTGTGTAGGTGTTTGATAACGTGTGTATGTGTGAGTGTCTTTGGGTGTGTTTCTTTATGTTGGGTTTGGAAAGATTGAGTTTGAGATTGTTTGAATTTGAAATTTTTAGGAGTTTTGGGAATCTGTTTTTCTTTGGTATGGTAGGTTTTGTTTGGTTTTAGGGGATTTTGTTGGATAGTGATGTGATAGGTAATGATTGGAGTGATGAGATTATTTATATTATTAAAATAATTTATATTAAATATAAAAAATGTAATAAATATGAAGTGTGATGTTTTTCTTTTATTAAGTTTCCTATATTCGTTAACAAAAAAAGGGAAAAAAAATGAATTAATTCTGGCAGTAGCCTACAATTACGTGTGGAAGAACAAGTGGAAGAAATATTTCTTCAATCCAAGTTAAATTTGATATATAATAAAAAAAAATGTAATTGACGTGAAAGAGTATGCCGAATACAAAAGTTAACAAGCATCGATGACAAAAATATGTCATGTGCGTAGGCCGTTCGGTGGCGTGCAGTACATTACTAATCGTCCAAAAATTATGTAAGACCGAAACAGAATTAAGCAGATAAGTACGCACGGCCGTGCCCGTGTGTTGGCAATTGGTTGCGGCCCATAACCATGGGACTAACATAATACAGGTAAATGTGCATGGGCCATGCATGTATGGTGTAAATGGACTGCTTCTCGTATACATGAAAAGCAAGGGGTATGGGAAGGCTCACTCATGGTCAAACTCTATATACTAGTCTGCAGTTTTGTCGCCTATGATGTGATTTCTCGCGCATTCACAAGCCCACAGTAACGCTACAGTTGATTTCTCAAATTTAACGCCAAATGAACACACCCTGAGTGCGTGTGTCTTTGTGTTTGTGTATGTGAGTGTAAGTGTGTTCGTGTTTGTGTGTATGGGTGTGTGTATTTGGGTGTCTCTCTCTGTGTGTGTTTGCGTCCTTGTGTGGATATCTGTGTATATCTCTGTGTGGGTGTGTGTTGATGTCTCTGTGTTTGTGTGTGTATGTGTCTATGTGTGTGTGTTTGTGTCTATGTATAATATTCCACACCACAGGTAGGTTTTTATGGACTTTTAGGAATAAGAAGCAACTTAGGAGTGTATTTTTGTAATTCCCCCTATTATGTCAGATTTTGTATTGAAACTTGTGGTTTGAGCGCCTATATTACACTAGTTGTTAAGTATTAATGAAGAAAGTTTTATGTGCATTAATTTTTTAAATCATGAGTAAGTTTTATGCCGTTTTCTAACCAAGTAGAGGATTTTCAGCATATTC